TGGATATGGTGACAGGAACTGATCTATCAGGAGCTCAGCAAGAACCAAGACAGATACTGGGTCAGAGGAGTTTGCATCAGAGACCCTGCCCTCAGGTTAACTGAGACACAGCTCACAACCCGGTGGTGAAGACAGCATGCACAGAGTGTCGAGGAGAGTCCACTAGAAAGGAAGAAAGGCAGGTCCTAAAGACTGAAGCAGATCAGGGCACTGCTTCTGCTTGCCAGCCATGACATAGTCCTATGTGTCATTCTGATGTCCAGTGGCCACCACTTGTGTCTAGACATGCACAAGACATACCTACGGACACAAGACACACATGACACACAGACAAGACACATGGCAAGATACACACAGGATTAAAGTATTTTGACTATAATTATTTTCAGTAAGTAAATAGAATGATTAAATGAAAGCTGAGCAGAAAGTACCTTTTGTTTGAAGACTTACTGTGAATAAATGCCTGCTGGAATGTCTGTGTTGGTGTGTGAGGTGGACGTGGTGACCATCGCTGCTTCTCCTGCCTGGGTCCTCACCCTCACTGCCCGCTTATCTCCGTCATGGTCTTGAATGGGGGCCTGGCTTTCATTTGTGACCCCGTGGTACCCATTGCATAGAGTGGCACAGGTACTGCATAGAGAACGTGTCACTGTAAAGAGAAGACAGAAAATATCTGGATGGTGGTTGTATTTATTTTACTTTCTGTACTGAGACTTCAGATCCATCATAGTAGTTTGAGGTTTGCAGTAAATAAAATTCCAGTTCTTTTGAACACTTGGTAGTTTATGATGAAAGTTACTTTCCAAATTTGTGCTTTATGGAGTTTTACAGACCTGGCACAATAATCTTACAGCACTTTTTAAGTTTTTCTCTTTTGTAAGTTATCTGTTGAGTTATTAAGATGTGATGAAATTATAGCATTTTGTCATATTTTCAGTATCATTTTCAAAGTGAATACACCAAGAGATAACTATATTAAAATTTAACTTGTACATCATGTATAGAGAATAGAAGCTGTTTCTAAATTGGAGTTCAGGAGGCTTTAAAATGCATAGTCATCCTTTATCAGCATGAGTGGATGATTCAGCCGTTTGTTAAGGTCAGTAAACGTTTGCTTTGATATGTTCAAGAACACAGAACAATTCAGGTGTGATAAGTCTAAATTTGGCATTAATAAACTGCTAACAAAGTTGGAGATATGAATGGGGGGTGCTGTATTTTGCTTTTTAGTCTGAGAAGTGTTAGAAGGTATCTAGCAGATGTCGAAAGGAGCTATGCTGTTTGTACTTGGTATGATTCTTGTATAATTATGTTATTGGGTAGAATGAATTACTGACTACTTAACTCAGAACACCCTTGCGTAGTGCCCTAATGAGGATAGATGTTGCCATGTCTTCATTCCTACAAGTCACTGTCTTGATGGTGTTTCTTGCTCCTCCTCCTCAGCTTGTGGTGCTTGTAGCTGTCAGAGGGCTAAGCTGGGGTCTTGTTGGCCTTTTGTTGTTCTGGAAAATCTGTCTTAAGTATTTCTCCCTGTGACCTGCCTAGAGGCATTTTCATTCATGTTGGACTAGCCACTTGGACTGGACTGTTTGGAAGATCAACATGATCTGGGTTTGGATTTGTTCTAAAAATGCCATGTCGTTCATTTAAGCAGCAAGTACTTAGGGACAGCTGGGCCAAGAACTCTGCTGTGTATGTGGATTACAGCAGAATGTATTCTAGACGAGGTTGTGACATTTAGGCTGAGACTTAGAAGGTGAAGAGTCAGCTGGCTGAAGTCATCCAAGAAGCAAGCAGAGCAAGAGCAAAGGCCCTGGGGTCTGTAGGTCTGTGTGCTAGAGACTGGGGAGCAGATCTCTTCAGCCTGGAGCACAACTAAACGGTGGGGCTGAAGAGGAGCAAGGAAAAGAGAAGGCAGTCTGAGATAAGGCCTGGTGATGAGAAGGAAAGCTGAGCACATGGGTTCTAACGATAGGGTGAGGGGCCTTTGGAGGCTTTCAGAAGTTGTCAGCAAGAGAGAAGTCACTTTGAAACAGAATCCTGTGAGCAATGTAAGCTTTGTTAATGTAGTACTTCATAAATAGCAGCTCATATGTATTGTTTACTTGCTGTGAGCCAGGCCCTGTACTCAGTCTCCTTCCCTCCCTATCTCACAGAGACTTCCCAGCCTTCCAGGGAGGTGGTGGGGGCAGGGATCTGGCTTTAGGGAGAAGAAACTGAGGTATGGCAGATTAAACGAGTAACTTGCAAATTTAGGGTTTGAGCTGAGGTAGTTTAAGATTCTAAACCACAAGCTGTTAGTGCTAAGCCATTAGTGGGTTTGGAAATTGAGTTGCACTTGGGATTAGGTTTTTTTTTAGATTTTTGATTCTTTGTTTATATGTGTATATATATGTGTATGTGCGTATGTGTGTGGGTTCCCATGGAGGCCAGCAGAGGGTATCAGATCCCTTGGAACATGAGTTACAGGTGTTTGTGAGCCACCCAATGTGAGTGCTGGGATCCAAATTCCCATCCTCTGTAAGAGCAGCAAGCACTCTTAGCCTCCAAGCCATGTCTCCAGCCCCCGGGAATTGTTTTTTTAAAGAGTAGGAAATATCAGAGCACTTTCCATATAATAAGGGTAAAATACTAATATTTGAGTCTTTGTCTCATTTTTATTTTATGTAATTTATGTTTGCACATTTGTGTACTTGGGAGTCATTGCAGAAGGCTAAGCATTTGTGCAGACAGGAGCTGATGACTCCTTAGGTTAGACTTGCGGGAGGAGCGGCCTCAGCGTTAAGAGACAATGGCACCCGGATTTGGTACAAAATGGGTATGTGAGTCTGGCTGAGGAAAGTGTCAGGAGTGAGTCCCGGAGTTCCAGGGAACGTCAGTCCCAGTACATGCTGCATTGATCTGTTACAGGGAGTCTGGCCTTCCTAGAGGGTCCTCGTGGGTGTTCCTTTCACTGACACTAGCATCTCTCAGCTGTGATTGACAGCACTTAGGGTTGGTATCCTACATAGGGATACAGATCTATGAGGTGATGTTACCAAACCATGCCTGAACAGGCCTGATAAGCCAGGGATGATTTGCTCTGGAGTCTGAGGTAAGCTGTGGCCCACACCACCTCAGAGAAGCAGGGAGCCCTGGTGCAGGTACAGTGGCTGGCCACAGCTGCTGGAGTGGAAGTGTGGGTATGTTTCTACCAGAGTTCAGTGTTCGAAGCCGTCTTGTCATTCTGAGAAGCATGGCTTGTTGCAAGCCATTGTGAGCAGAAACGAGGAAGCCACACGTAGCTGTGATGGACAGTGCTGTGCTGAGGTCATACATGTACAGTGACATTAGCTTCTAGGTTTTTATGGTTTCACTGGCCATGCTGTATTTAGCAGAGTGACAGTGATAAGATTGGATGCTTTTTTTTTTTTGGTCTTTTTCAGACAGGGTCTCCCTGTAGCTCCAGCTGTCCTGGAACTCA